CCTCCTCGTGCTCAGCTTTCCTGGCCAGTTAGCTGCCACGAGCTACGATCCCAAGCTGCGAACTCAAACTACAATCAGGACTGGTAACTATCCAGCAGCTGCAGAACATTTTGGTGTGTGTGTGTGTGTGTGTGTGTGAGTGTATGTGTATAAGTATTAAGGTATTTGCTAATAGTTACAGATTAATAATAAATGTGGCATCTTTGTCTTGACCCCTAAAACGATCCTGTATAAGTTTGTGGGACAACACATGTTTGCACCAGCTGAGGGTGTGGCCCCGTCTCCCTGACACAGGGAGCAGGCTTGCCCAGCTAGAGTTTCCCAACAGAGCCAGCTACGTGGCTCACCAGCACTGACCTGTGAGCACCTGCCCAGCTCCTGCAAGGAAGAAGCTGCTGCTGCACAGACCAGCCTGTGCTGAAGCATTGGAGGAGTGAGCTGCTCCCCCCACCCCCTTACCTCAGCACGTGGCTGGCCTGATGCTGCTGGCCTGGGAGAGGTAGAGGGGGCCCTGCCTCGCTCGGGCTCAGAGAACAGAGTGAGTTTAGAGAATGCAAGAGGAGGATGGAGAGGAGTGACACGGCTTCACCTCCAGCACAGGGATCCAGGTCCTTCACAGCCCGGCCTGTGGCCTGAAATGACTGAAGGGCTAAGAAGGAGGAGGAGGGCATGGAACTGGACAAAGGGGAGACATCTCATAGCCTGGCCCTGGGGCAATGGTTGGCTCAGCTCAGCGATGTACCTGGGGTTGGGGAGATAACAAGTAGGCTCTGGGATTTTTTATTATCTCTGTGCTAGTAGCTCTTAGAGGCCCCGCACCAAGTTTGCTGGCCCATTGCCAGCCACTGCACAGACACAGAGTCAGAGTCAGCGCCTGGCCTGAAGAGCTTACAGCCTGAATCGACCCTGGGAGCGTCACAATCCCCTTTTACAGGTGGGGCACTGAGGCCCAGACCCTCAAAGCTATTTAGGCTTCTAACTCCCATGGGAGATGAAGTGACCTGCCCCACAGTCACACAGAGTAAAGAATTGAATCCAGATCTTCTACATCCCCATCTTGTGCCTTAAGCACAAGATCCAACCAGCTGGAGTCACAGCTGGTGAGCTGCAGCCTTCCCTGGGCCTAGCAGGGGGCGCTCTGACTGGGGGCACTGACAATGCAGTGGGTGCAGGCCTGCAGTTCAGGTTCATCTTGTCCCCACGCTGGTCTGCACCAGCGCCCTGCTCATCAGTGTCTGTGGAGGGGGGTTTTTTGCCCTTGACCAGGCACTGTGGCCATGCGGTTATCCCACTCTGACTCAGTTTCCCTGTACCCTTGCCTCTGAGGTGCCCACCAGTGATTGTCCCCAGCTAAACAGTTTCCTCACCCAGTCCCCGCTGTCTTATCTAAAAGCAGATGCAATGGGCAAAGGGGGGAGCAGGACGAGGAAAGTGTGAAGGACAAAGTGGGTTAAGATAGATAGGTGGCTAGATGCATACTGAGGAAAGGGAAGCCAGCCCACAATGGCTGTCCCGCAGATAACAGAGCTCCTCTCAGCCCCCCCATCAGCAGTGATGCCATGTGTCTCCCTCAGCTCAGGAAGTGTGCATGTCTGTCCTAGATTGGCATGTAGGCCAGATTCATCTGGAAGCAGATCCAACTCCCATTGAATTCGGTGGAAGTTGCACTGTGAGTTGCATCTCCTTTGACCTTCCCCAAAGACCCATCCCTTTGTAACCAAGGCAACCAGTTATCCCTTGTACCATTCACCCCAAATCACTTGCATCTAACTCATGCTTCACTCCAGCTCTCAAGTATGAACAACAGCCAGACACCTCTTGAAGTGCCCACTTCTAATCCTGCTGGGATGGTCATTAGGCTCCTTGATGGCTCTGTTTCCCTTTGCACCATCCCAGGGGCACAGACCGGGATCTACCCCTATATTCTGCTACAGTCCTAAATGTGGTGTCAAGCTGGCACTGTACTTGGTATTCAGCATTGCACTGGAAAGAACTACTCCACTGGCTTGAGCTTGAAACCTCCTTGGATGGGAACATTTTGATGAATGGGGTTCACTGGAGGCCGTTCTGGCAGAGCCCCTACCCGCTTCACACCTGAGCAGTTCCACTAATGGAGCCTGCGGACACTGCAGCCTGCTCTTGGCAGAGTCTGCACCGTTCTGGAACCTGCATCATTTAACGACAGAGCTTACGGGCACCCGGAACGCAAGAGGTTCACAGGACAGAGATTCCACGTGCTGCAGCCCACTCCGGCCGTGTCTGTAACCTCCTCTAACCTAGACCTTTTGGACAATGGAGCTCAGAGATCTCATGAGCTGGACTAGGGGCGTTTGCAGCCTTGTTGAACTGCAGTGGCTGAGCTGAGGGAGTGTGGCTGGCTAGGGAGCAGCTTAAACCCAAGCTGGTTGGCTGATGAAGGTGACAAAGTCTCCGAGTTGTGCTGCTAGCAAAGCCAGGAGCTCATCTGCTGGACCTTACGCTTTTCCTGGGTCCTGGGAAAGTTCTCCAAAGTTCAGATGTTCGTGGTGACTGGCTCCTGGCCTTCTAGGGCACGTTCAAGGACATGTGCTCTTGTGGAGGGTGCTTGGAGTTTCTAAGCCAAGCCATTTCTGTGGAGGTGCCTTCCCAAAAGCAAGTCAGGAGGAAAACATCTCCATTTGCACCCCTTGTGGCTATCTGAGTGACCTCCAGAAATCTCTCCTCTGCCAGGAGACCACACAGGAGAAAGTGGAAGCAGAATGGAGGTGTTTCTGTGGGACACAGAGGGAGATCAGGGACTGAGGCTTAGGATGGAAAAAGCAAACTACAACCTAGCCATGGAGTAGCTGCACTGCCTTGGCTCTATAAATGAGCCCCTTTCCCCTGTGGGCAGCATTTCTCATGGTGATTAACAGGCTGTTTGTGATCCTCCCCAGGCTTTTTCTTAATTTGTGAGCAGATTACCCCCAACTAACCGCAGCGAGCCATTCTTGTGTGTGGCTGCCTGGAGAGCTCACAGGGACAGTGCAGGTGGGGTGAAAGGCCTTGGGGGAGAGAGCGGTCAGTCTGAGTCCATATTTCACATAGCTAGCCTACCCCTCCCCGGCCACGGAATCCTTTCCCCTACCCTGATCAGACTGGTCATTCTCCAACTCTCTATTGTCCCCTCAATCCAGTGCTTTCCAGATCCAAATTGCTGACCCCCCTGCCCACAAACATACCAGCCTTATCCCACTGTCACTCCCACTCTCAGTCCAGACCCAGATTCCCTCACATGCTCATCTGCTGCTGTGCCGCTCTCTGTCTTCCCGCCTTGATCCAGATCCAAATTCTCTTCTGCTGTTTGTCCCCACCTTGACCTAGATCCAAATTCTCTCCTGCCCCATCCTGCTCTATGTGTGTGCCTGGAGCCAGCTCCCCTCCCCTCCCCCACTGCTGTCCTGTTTTCTCCCACCCCTACATCCAGAGCTCCTGTTGGATCCAGAGAACCCTGTACTTTTGCTGCTCTCTCTTGCTCCCCGCCCCCCAAGCATATTTCATGCAGCTGAGACTTTAAAATGCTCCTGGCGGCCTCTCACTTTTCGTAGGGGGGTTCCCTGCAGAGCTATGAGGGGGAGGGCCCTTTACCTGCACCTGTGTGGGACGGTGTTATCTGCTAATTGTTTGCTAATCAGCACTAATTGTGCTCTTGTCTGCCCTGGAATCGCGCAGCACGTTGAACCTGCCATCGGAAATCACTACCAAGTGGCCTTATTATCAAGCCCCAATTAGGAACAAATGCACATTTCATTATCTTGTGACATGGGTATTTTTTTTTTTTTTTTTTTGAACTTAATTAGTTAAAGTTCAATTAATCCTAAAATTGCTGTTCCTCCCCTGCTGCGGATGTGATGGGGCAGCAGGGAGGAAGGCTGGGTTTGGAGACTGGCTTTCTGTCTTGCGTTCGTTAAGCAGAAGCAGTAGGGGGGCACAGGTCATCCAAACTAACTCCTTGGAAGAGCTCCATTGTGATGGCCAAGCAAGGAGCATTCTGCGGCATGCTCTCTGCCTGTTTCAGATGTCTGGGGAAACACACCGGAAACGTTGAGTGTTTGATCAGTTTCAGGATTTTTCCAAGCAAAACCAGATGGGCAGCTGAAGTCAGGGCTGCCCGGGGGGGGGCAAGTGGGGCAATTTGCCCCGGGCCCCACAGGGGCCCCCACGAGAATATAGTATTCTATAGTATTGCAACTTTTTTTATGGAAGGGGCCCCCAAAATTGCTTTGCCCCAGGCCCCCTGAATCCTCTGGGCAGCCCTGGCTGAAGTGAATGACAAACTGGAAGCCACAAAGGAGCAAAACTAGGTCAGAACACACCTAAAAATCCGGGACATGAGACTTAATCATGGCCTCATCCAGCGAACATCCCCCAAAATCCAGCACCCATCTTCAGCTGCACATTCCCCTCACCCTGCAAACAGTGGGATGATAGAGATGGCACCAGGGAAAGCTCTGGCTGGCCTCCTGGGCAACCTGTTGGTTCAAGAATTAGTCACATTAAATAGACATTATTCAGGGTGGGGTGGGGGAGTTTGGGCACTTAAGTCACATGGTCTTGTTTCTTCTCCCTGATTAGATGGCTGTTTTAAAATAGGTCTCTGTCAGTGGGAGATAGGAGTGCTTTGTGTTTAGGGGACTTGACTAGGATGCTGGGTACCTGGATTCAATTCTTGGCTCTGCCACAGATTCCTTGTGGGACATTGGGAAAGTCACTTGGCTACCATCACATTAGCCAGCAACGTGTTTATATCATAATCACAATCAGACCCAGATGGATAGGGAGACAACTGATTTGCAGCAAATGAAAACTGTGAGTTTGATTGCCTCAGGTACCTGGGGCTCACAGTGGGCAGACTGGCCACAAAAGAATTAACAAATCCCAGACGATTCACAGGTTTTAGCACGAGCAATCCTGTGTCCAAAAATGCAGTCTGACACTTCTTGGCTTCTACCCCCTGACATATTTCCCTTCTTTTCCCATAGGGTAAACGTTATAAAAATTCCCTGGAGACGGTGGGGACCCCCGATTCCAGCCGAGGGCGCAGTGAAAAGAAAACCATCAAGTAGGTGCCATGGGACAGCGCGAGAAGGGATGAAAGCCTCAGGTGTTGCCCTGGGGCATGGTGTCTGCTCCAGGCAGCTTCCTAGTAGCTGAGAACTCCTGAACCCCAAACACCCACACATCCCCACACACTGTGCCTTGTACACCCTGCCCCCACACAGCCATGACAATCCACCAACACCCGCACGTCCCTTCACACTTCACGCTGTACACCCTTCCCCCACATAGCCATGACAATCCACAAACACCCACACATCCCTACACACTGCGCCCCATTCACCCTGCCTCCACACAGCCTTAACACCCCACCAACACCCGCACATCCCCACACACTGTGCCCCTGTACACACTGCCTCCACACAGCCACGACAATCCACCAACACCCGCACATCCCCACAGACTGTGCCCCATTCACCCTGCTCCCACACAGCCTTAACACACCACTAACATCCGCACATCCCCATACTCCTTCAATGTCCACAAACACATCCATAGACCCAGAAACTCTGAACATTCCCACACCGTGATGCCTTCAAACAGCCCCATGCCTCTGCACCTCAACACTCCCCAGAGCATTGCCCACACTCCTGTGCCCCCAGACTATCCCATCCCACTTCCCCCCACACTCCTGCACCCTCAAATACTCCCACGCTCAGAGACTCCACACACTTATGCACCCCAAAATACTTCTTTTAGCCCCACCCCCAAACACACCCCTGTGCTCCCAAACAAACCACCCCCAAACTCTCTCACCCATCACTCCCAGCACACACACCTCTCCAAAGGCTCACAGCTTCCTGACCCCCAAACACCCCCCGTCTCCTCCCCCTAGCTCAGACATCTCCCTGACACACACAGCACCCCACACCGATCAGACACCAACCCCAGACTGCACCACTGCCTCGTATGCACCCAGTCACGACCCACAAACTTTCTCCCTTGCCCCCAACACCCCCCCCCCATCTAAACACTCCAGTGCTGCCCCTGTTCGCCAGCCCTGAGCGAGAACAGAGCTTACCAAAGCCAGATCCAGGCTTCATGTCTCCCTGCCCCCCTCAGGCAGCAGGCAACCACCTCCTGGGAGGCCAGGGGACTGTCCCCAGGGCTGCGAGTGCTCAGAGCTGTCTCCTCAGGGTGGGCAAAGCCAGGGCCTCGGGTCCCTCATGCCAGGCTTGTAGCCATGGTGGCAGGGCTTGGTGAGGCTGTTAGGCCATCACGCTGCATCATGCCCGCAGGGGCTGCTGATCGCCAGCCAGGGTCTGCTATAAAAGACCAGGTCCTGCAGCACCTAGTTCCCCTGGTTCTTCCTTCTTCCTGCATGGCCCATGCTCCCCAAAGGGCAGCCAGGGCACATGGAGGGGCAGGGATCCTAGCTGCTCTCCACATTGACAGCCATTGAGGTAACCAATTGAATCTGGGCTCCCATGCCCACCCTATCCCGGCCCCGCTGGACACTTCCTTCTGCAGAAGCCTGCTTGGCTTGGACCAACCACAATGAGATTTATTCTTCTCTATTCACATCTCAGCACCCAGAAGTCCCCCCTGCCCCACAGAGGGAGGGGGAGGTGCCTCATGGTCACTTCTGCCCCATAGAGGGAGGGGGAGGTGCCTCAGGGTCCCCTGTCACCTACAGGGAAGGGAAGACACCTCGGGGTCCCCTTTGCCCCATAGAGGGATGGGGAGATGCCTCAGGGTCCCCTCTGCCCCACAGAGGGAGGGGAAACATCTCAGGGTCCCCTCTGCCCCATAGAGGGAGGGGGAGGTGCCTCAGGGTCACCTCTGCCCCATAGTGGGAGGGGAGATGCCTCAGGGTCACCTCTGCCCTACAGGGGTAGGGGACACCTCAGGTTCTCTCTGTCTCACAACAAGCGGGGCCCTGCTATTCACTCGGTCTCCAGGATGTCTCACCCCACTCTCATGCACTCCCATGGTGTGCTCTGGGGGAATATTGGCCAAAGCCAGGACTTTTCTCGGTGCTTCTCTTTGTTCAGAGGCCAAGGCAGCATTCAAAGACAGAGACGCCAATGGGGCAGTCCCCATACCCGCTCTGCAAAGGACGTGGGGCCGAGGGCTGTAATGTGTGACTGGGCTGTGCTGCAGGAGGGCTCCTAGGATGTGTGCACTTGGGTGGAGAAATGGTGTGAAGGGCTAGTGATGGGCCTGGGGTGCTGTAACGTCATGCAATGGGGCAGTGCCCACTGGGGCAGTAAGATGGGCCCTCAGGGGAACTGGGCCCTGTGACTATGACTGGGCCCCAGGTGGCTCCTACCCACCCGCGCCAGGACAGCGATATCGGTCAGCACTCTGCCTGTTACCGCCACACTGCCCTGGAAACCTGGCGTTCCCTTCTGCGTGGTCTGCGCGGCTGGGGGAGGGCAGCTCGCCAGGGAGGGGGCAGTCCTGGGAGGAGGAACGGGTGGATGACTGACGCACTTCAACCTGGTGAGGGACATTGTCATGTCTATCGCTCCTCCAGGCTGAGCCTGTCGTCTTCCACTGCCTTCCTGAGGAGCGGCCGCTTCCAGTGGGCCTGTGGCTGCTTCCTCCTGCCAACAAGCCTATGTGGTGCCTTGCGGAGCTTACATCATGCCAAGCTCTCTCCTCACCCACCGTGACAAGGGCTGCCCCTCCATGGGCCGGCCAGTAGTGCAGTTATTGTGGCACTCTGGCTGGTGGATCAAGTGTGTGCGCACAGGGTCCCTGGGTGCATGGGATCTTCCCTAGCGTAGGCCCAAGGGTGACAGCGTCTGTCCTCATGTGGGCCAGGGGACCTTGGGCAACATGCCCCTTCAGACAGTGCCCGTGTGGCGGCCCCGTTGCGTGCTCCAGACCTGGTTGATGTTACTGACCACGCTGATGAGTGAAGTGATGAGAGGTGAGGTCCGTGGTGAGTCACAGAGGAGTGGTGTGCAGGCTGCCCCCTGAGAAGAGGAGTCACTCAGGGGACAAAGAGCTAGCCTGAGACACGCCATCCTACACCGCAGACACTCACCCCGTCCATTCCTCAGACACTCCACCCTCTCTCTCTGGGAGGGTCTGCCCACTCCCCAAGGGGTACACTGCCCAGTCGAGACTCTTCGCGCTCTCTCCTCGGGACTCGAAAGCTGCCACTTCCCAGAAGCCTCGCAGGTCTCCCAGCACCAGTGACGATAGACTCTCCAGACAGCTCAGCCTCCGATGCCCAACAAGCTGGCCCTGACTGAGGGAGAGAGCTGCAAATCAGAGAGCCTTTGTCTCTCCCTCTCTCCTCCACCCTTTCTTCTCTCTTTCTCTCCCCACCTCCCTCTTTTCCCCTCCCTGCCTCCCCTCCACTTTCTCTCTCCCTTTCCCCCTTCCCTCCACCGGGTTGTGAGCGAGCCTTGTGCTCGGAGGCGAAAGGCAGTGGCCCCCGGGGCACGCACGGCCCCCTCTCCTTGGCCTTTCATCTCGCTCTGTGTGTTTGGAGAGGCCGTTTCATGCCAGAACCGCAGGAGGACTGGAGGAATTAATGAGGGGAGCCGGGGCTGAGTGCAGGCATGCAGCCTGCCGGGGACCTTTGAAGTCTCTGATGAATTTGCCGCAGTACCACTTGACTTCAAAGGTGCTGCTTGTCGGATCCCACGTACTCCAGGTCGAGCACCAGGAAGCCATTGGCGGCTCTCTGAAGTCAGGAGGCGATGGGTAGATACGGCTTGTCTCATGATCTGTCCATGGCATGAAGTGACCTATTTAGAGTCTGAGGAGATGTACAGCCAGGCAGACGCAGTGCACGCCCTGCTGAATCACGCTCCCTGGCTCCCGCTGCACCGCCAAGTGGGGACTGACCTTGTCCCGCAGGATGGGACAAGAGGGTTACCCTTGGTACAGGTTTTCTAGGAGAGGAGGGTCTCACATCTGGAGCAGAGTGTCATTAGTTCTGGATCCTGTAGGGAGGGATTACACATCTGGAGCAGGGTGTCAGTTGTGGATCCTGCAGGGAGAGGTCTCACATCTGGAGCAGGGTTCCATCTGTCCTGGATCCGTCAGGGAGGAGTTGCACAACTGGAGCAGGATGTCGGTAGCTCTGGATCCTGGCTGCACATCTGGAGCAGGTGTCAGTAGCTCTGGATTAGAGAGGGGCCCCACATCTGGAGCAGGGTGCTATTAGCTCTGGTTCTCCACCTCTGCTGTATTAAGATGAGTCCTGGTGATGGACAATGCCTATCTAGGTGGAAGACAGACAGGGAATAAGAACCCCCTGCTGGATTCATCTGCCATCCCTCTCAGGTTTTTAGTGGCTAGTTTCAAATACTAGTCCTGTGTGTCTCTTGAGTTGCTCCCTGGGTCCCTCTCCTCTCTCCAGCTGGGGTTTCTAGCAAATCTCGAAGTGATGGCTGAGCAAGTCTGACTATAGTCCTGGACCAGTGTCCCTCAGAGGCCAATCTGGGGAGATCCTGATGGACCATCACCCTAGCTTGACTCCCAACTTTATCAAATGTTCTTAGAATCTTTCCATTCCCCAAATCCCACGTCTTCCCATGCCTTGGGAACTGGGTGTTGAGTCCTGCCAGCTCATTTCCCCCTTGTCTGAAGATGACATTCCCCACAGCATGCTGACCTCCAGTGTCTTGGAAGATGTCAGTCGTTCCCCAAGACTGTAGTGGGTTCTGCCGCTGTCCCAATGCTGGAGGGGCTATGTTTTGCACTGCCCCATTGCCAGCTCTAGCAATAATATTGTGAGTCTCAAGCAACTGGGTGTTTTCCTGATGACCCCAGCTCTTGGGCTCGTGAGTCTGTGAGAATCTCAGCTTCTGTGGTAACACCTACAGTGCGTTCCCAGCCCAGTAATGGTTGCCAAGAAAGCTTGAGAGCGTGACTCCCTAATACTCCCAAACCGCCTCATTTTTAGGCCAATCTCATGTTTTTGGGGGCGTACCTCCTGATTTCTGAATGCCTGGAGCCATCAGTTCTGCCATCATCCGGGGGGCAGGGTACTTGGGATGTGGCGAGAACTGCCTTGATGCTGTTTCCAGGAACAGAGCAGGGAGCCTGGCGAGACATTACCAGATTGCCATGTCTAGCGGACTCTCCTTTAACCTGCGCTCCATCTCTCTCTCTCTCCTACCAGCTTCTGGAGGCACCTGCTCCCGTCTTTCTGATGCTCTTCCTCCGTTTGTCCCCAGTCCATCCTCCCTCCGTGTGTGCGTGGGTGTGTATGTGTGTGGCAGGCCGATGCTGCTACAGCTGTGGCTTTTCTTTCGCAGGAGGAGACGGAGCTGCTCTCCTTTCTAACCTGGCTTCTTTCTGGTTTTGGGGGGGAGGGGGTTGATTTTTTTTCTCCTTCCTCCCCTCGCAGGAATTCAGATTCTCTCTCTTGTATTTCCCTTTTCTTTCTCCCCTCTTCTCTGGCCGATGTAGTGATCTAGACAGAGACTTTTGGAATAACAATGACAACACAGTGCAGCAGAAATGGAGCTCCTACCCTCCCAAGGAGTTTATACTAAACATTTCACCTTACGCCCCATACGGTGATCCACGACTTTCCCTCAAGTGAGTCTCTCGTTACCTGGTTTGATCATGTGTAGTGAGTATATGCGCAACCCACCACCCACCCACCCACCCTCTCCTCCCCTTCACCCTCCTCCTCTTCCTCTTTGCTCCACCTCTTCTCCCAACACACTCCACCCCCATGGGCAGACAGCCATGGAGACGAGCAACCCCTCCTGCCCTTCCCCCTCCTCCCTTATCTCAGTGGTTCCCAACCACTGGCACGGGCGCCAGTACTGGTACGCCAGGCCAGTTCCCTGGGCTCAGCCCCTCGCTCCCTTAGGCTCAAATCCAAGTCAGAGAGAGCGTTGCCAGGGACTTCAGTGGCCCTTCACAAGGTACCGCTGCATCGGGCTGCCCCCTTTCGAGGCTGGACCCAAGCTCCAGGGTGGGATAGAGCACAGCCCACCGAATGGGAAGCAGTGATGGGCACTGGCTGGCACAGCCGTGGCCTCGGGACCCGATCCAAAGCTCACGCCAGCCAATGAGAAGCTTGCCATTGACTTGGCCGAGGTTCGGCTCAGGCCCTTCGCCTGCTAGACTGGAACAGCTGCCCCAATGGATTGGGAACCACTGCCCTAAGTGACTCACTGAGAGAGGCTAGCGCCCCCCTCCCGCTGCCCCAGGTCCCCTCTGCTCTCCCTCCCCCCCCCCCCTGCCCCCCTTCTCTGCAGCACAGGATGGGGTTGCGCGTTTGGGTCCCCCCTCAGCGTGTACTCTGCATTTGCACTGTGTGGTGGTGACTCTGGTGCTGGTAAGCTCTCACTAACATGGCTTTTCTTTCCCTCTGCCTGTACTGGTGCCTCTCCTAACAGTTTTCTCCATTGTTTAACCCCTCGTTGTCTATGGGATAACGTAACTTTGCTGCCATCACACACTCACCACCGAGCCGGGGCCGCCTGTTGTTTTTTCTCTCCTCTCCCTGTTGCCGAAGGCTCCCCCCCAGCCCTTTCTTTTGCAGTGCTGATGTCTCTCTTTCTCTCTCTGTCTGTCTGTCTCTTGTCTGTCTGTCCCTCTCTTTCTCTCTCTCTCTCTTTCTCCCCCCACGTGTGGCCTCCTCCCCGCCACCCCCCCCTCGCGCCCATCCTGGTGGATCTGGCCCACCCTAGTGGCTCTCTGCTGTCGGGCGCTAAGTTGGCCGCCTCTTCCGCTTCGGGGTTGGCGGGGGAGCGAGAAGGACGCCTGGGGGAGAAGCAGCAGCTCCAAGAGGACGGCATGAAGAGCAGCCTGTCTGCCCACAGCGAGCCCAGCAATGGGAAGGCGGGGAGAGGCCGATGGCACACGGTGCAGAGCCACCTAGCAGCAGGGAAGCTCAGCCTATCCAAGTGAGTGAGAGTGCTTCACAGGCCTGGCCCGGCCCTATGAGGCACTGCAGCATGGGGTCCAGCAGAGCACGGGGTTGGGTGACTATCCTGCTGTTTGAGTGGCTTATCTGCCCCACTGGGGTCAGGCAGGGGGTCCAGGAGAACGTGGGATCGTGTGAGGGGATTACCCCACCCCAGTGGGATCGGACAGGGCAGTCTGGAATGTCTGAGATGGCAGGAAACACGTCGCCACCTGATGGGAATTTAACCCCGTGTGTGATGAGAATCCCCTTGATCCTTGGCAAAGTATTGTCATTATCTCCATTGCGGTAGCATCTGGGGGCCCCCAGTCAGAACCCAGGGCCCCAGTGTGGAGTCCCTGTCATTGGAAAACAGGTTTGACAACCACCTGTCAGCACTCATCTAGGTACACTTGGTCCTGCCTTAGGTAAGGGGGATGGACTGGATGACGTGCTGAGGTCCTTTCCAGCCCTCTATTTCTGTGATTGTGCTAGGCACTGTGCAAACAGGAAAAGACAGCCTCTGCCCCAAAGAGCTTACAATCAAAGTAGAAGGCTAGAGACCACAGGTGGGTCTAGACAGGAGAGTTTGAAGGAGGACACCGAGGTGTCTTTGTGGATGTCCATGGGGAGCTTCTGCCGTGCGTGAGGGAGAGAGCATGAAGGGGCCTGTCTGAACATTTAACAAGTGGATGATGGAGGCCCTGGCAAAGCAGAAGGGGAGCCGATGTCTTGGCGGCATTGAAGAGACGTTGGGTAGGATGGGGCTAGGCTGGAGAGGAACTTGAAAGTGAGAAGTCATTTGTGTTTGATGTGGTGAAGGAGGAGCCAGCAGAGCGGTGGAAGGAGAGGGGTGAGAATGTCAAAGCTACAAGCCTGGAAAATGATCTGTGTGATGGTGTTTTGAACAGGAGATAAGTGGGGCAGGACTGCTTTTGTCAAGGCCAGAGAGGAGGAGGTTGGTCAAGACGGGGTGGGCGTGGATGAAACTATTAGAGATATGGATGGAAAAGGAAGGCCGGATCTTAGAGGTGGTGTGCAGGAGAACGTGTAGACCCAGCCTGGATGTGAGGACCTACAGAAAGGGCCAAGGCAAAGATGACGCCTAGATTACAGACCTAGGCGACAGGAATGATGGTGGGGTTGTCCATGGCGACTGAGAGAGGAGTGTGAGGAGAGGCCTTAGTGAGTGGGGGTGGGTGGGTGAGAATTAATTAATTTGATGTCCAAATACCAGGGGCCCGTCCCCATGTCACTATTGCTAGCTGGCTGGTTCCCACAGCTGGCAGAGCTGCACCCTCTGCTGTGGGGCAGCACCCCCCGAGCAGCCCTGTGGATGTGCTTGAGTCAGTTAATCCTGGGGATACTGCCTGCTACATGGGCCTGGAAGGGAGATTGCCTGCCCAATGCTCAGTCTCCTGGGGATCAGTGCTAGAAGTGGGGGAGACTTAGAGGTACCAGGCAGGCTAGGGGTTATGCCTACATTTCTGCAAGTATCTGGGGGCAGGGGGAGTAAGCAAGGTAGGAGGCTGCTCAGCTGGCTTTCTACCCCTTCCATGCTTAGTACTGAGCTGGAGGGGGGACGGGGGGGGGGCGCTCTGGTAACTTACTAGTGAATTGCTCCAATGGGTGAACACTCCAATATGGAGTCATTGGTTTGTGTAGTGAAACAGCTGGTAGATTACCCCACTCTGGGGCCATCCCATTCCTACCCTAGGGGGCAGGACCATTCTTAGCCCCACCCCCATGGAGGGGGCTAACGGCAGTAGTGACTTCTTGGAGTCCATTCTGTGTCCAGATTTGGCCTAACTTTTGCAATAAACTAAATTTTTGGGCCCCAACATTTTGCTCCCTTAGTCTGATGTCAGAGGGGAACTTGGAGAAAAGTTTGAGGTTTATCAGTTAGAAAAAAACAGAGTTTCTTTAGGAGACTCGTAACTCAGTTTGGCTTAAAGGTTTTGGACAAGATTCTGGGCTGCTGTAAATTGGCGTAGCTCTATTCATTTACATGCAGCTACAGTGATTTGCACCAGATTGAGGATCTGGCCCTAAATTTCTAATCTCTGTTGGTTAAACTGCCCGAGATCCAGGAAGGTACAGACTCCAATGGTGCAGTATTTAACTCAGATACTATGCTGTGCTGTAATTCACTGAATATCATGTATAATTCTGCACCCTAACTAGAAATACAGCAAAGTAGAAGAACATATATAGATGTATGGTGTGTTTTCACATATAATTGTGCTGAAATATATTCATTTAAAAAAAAACTAAGGAAATTCCCAGACAAAATGCTTTGTTAAGATGCCAGTAAGGTTTTAATAACATATTCAAATTTGTCATTTAAAATTTTGTTAGAGTCTTATTGTTATAAAGAATAATTTGAAAGCCAGGAAATTGTAAGTTAAGATTCAATTTACAAAAAAAGAAAAGAAAGAAAGAAACTGTGGAAATTCAGAGTTAAGGTTCCATAAATAACCTTAACTCTGTCCCTGAACAACCTTCTGTATCCCTGAGACATTTTTCTAATGGCCCTTTCCATACATTTCCTATATAAGCTACATGCCCCTACTATAGAGACCCCTTTCTGTCTTGTGATATGCAAACTGCATTATCGCTGCATTGAAACAACATACCCAGCTACAATCCCTCCTCAAATCCACACTCCTGGACTGTGTCAGGCAGAGCACCTGCCTCCTACCCATTTGATACAGAGTAAAGATCTCTCCTTCCCACCCACAAATGCCCACTGGAGCAAGACAGGACAACACTCACATCACACTTTCTATATATGGTCCCCAGACACATTACCTGTTCCAGAGAGGACTCGCTCAGGTGTTTGGATACCATGGGGGTGGGAGTAGTGATGGATGGATGGATAGATGGAAGGATGGATATATGCATCTAAGGTGGGGTGGATGGATGAGTGTGCATAAGGATGGATAGATAGATAGATAGATAGATAGATAGATAGATAGCGGGGTGTAACTAGCTAGATAGATAGTTTTGACAAACTTTTGAAAATGACTTGAAGCACTTGGCACAGGCACCAGTCTATGACATGTGGTTAGTGCATTTAAGAGTGGGAAATGGGGCAGAGTTAGGGTGTTTGAGAAAATTTAGCTTTGAATTTCTAGACTGTAATGCCTTTGCATTGTCATGAATTTCCCCTTGGCTTTGTCTTTACTGCTTTTTTAAATACAATGGCCCCTGTTTTAAGAAGGTTTCTAGCAGAGGGAATTAATCTACTTTACAGACCTGGTTGTATTTTAATGAAGTTCCTTTTGTTGGGGAGTAACACAGCCACTCCTGTAGCTGACACCTATGATGGGGCTCTCCATTGCATTGTGTGTCTGGAGGAGGTCGACCTGCACTCGCTTGTGCCATAGGAATAGCAGTATCCCGGGGGCGGGAGTAGGTACTAGCAGATGCCAGAGTGCCAGGTGTGCTTGATGCCAGGTTCATACAGTCCCCTCTGCATCAGAAGCGGCTCCCATGCGTCAGTTACTGCTGATAGAAATTTATATATTGCGCTGGCTCGGGGCCTAGAGCAGCCAATTTTAGTTTCCTGTGACTGAGAGGTTGTAAATTGGACTAATTTAGGATTTGATAGAAAACTGAAATGAGGTCGCCGAGTATGGAAGCGAAGGCAGCGGCTGGGAAAGGCCCATCTCTGCTTCATAGCAGGCAGCACAGGGGCCGCCCTTGGGGACTCGTCACCCAGATGGCATTGCTCCTTCCGAATCACATTTGCCAAGGAACCCAAAAATATACGCCAAGCCAGAGGCAATGCCAGCTGGGTGACACACCTCTCCAGGGCACCTGGGTCTTTGAGGCAGACTCTCTGCTTATTCAGGACTTCACTTTTTCTCTTTCCCTTTACTCTTTCTTGATCTCTCTCTTTCTCGATCTTTCTTTTTTCTCTCCCTCTCTCCTTTCTGCTCTCTGCGTGATGCACGAAGGCGCAGCTTCACCATTGTGTTTCAGCCATAATTACAGCCCAAACCCACATGGAAAGTAGACAAGGTTTTCCTGCTGCTGCCACGGTGAAAGCGATTCCCCCAGGGCCCGGCTGGTATGTGCCACGGAGGTGGCATCTGCTGCCACCGTGGCTGGGCTGTTCTTCCTTTGTACCCTTGGGAACCATGCAGGGTCTTAGGTTTGAAATGACCATCAGGGTGGATGGTGAATACCCTGGCCTCAGCCCAGCCGGCTGCTACAGGGACGTCTCAGCCGAAGGCATGTCCTCATGGCAGCAGCAGAGCTGGGGGACAAAGAGGTTAGTTGGGTCCTGGCCACATGCTCCTCTGTTCAACCACATGTTTAGCTACCTGCTTCATTGACTGTCCAGCTGAGTGTCTAACTGGGTGCTCTGTATGCGTGCACAGCCATGTGCTCTGCCTTGCGCCCAGCCATGTGCTCCAGGTGCATGCTCTCATGTGACAGCTGTGTGCTCAGCAACAGGCTTTGTCAAATATCCAGGAACTGTGTGCTCAGCTGTGGGCTCCATCATGTCTTCAGCCAGGTGCTCCATTGCATTCCCAGTTGGGGCGCTTGCCATGTGTTCCATCGTGTGCCCAGCTGTGTGCTACTTTGCATGCTCAGTTTTGTCTGGCTGTGCTCTACCATGTATCTGACTGTTTGTTTATGTGGGTGCTCTACCATGTATCGGTCTGTGTGTTTATCTGGGTGTTCTGTCATGTATCTGGCTGTGTGTTTA